TTAAGGGGGTTCTAATATAATGGTCGATACTTTTACATCATCTATCATAGATGTACTTAACGTTTAATAAGGTGAGGTAAAGCAAAGAGAATTTGCGCAATTTTAGCCAAATGCACACTACATGCTCGTATATAATACTTAATTGTGCAGCTTTGCCTTAAAGGATTTTTATACGTCAAAACAGGATTAAAGAGCTGCAAAATTAATTCGCTGCATATGATCTAAAGTATGGCCTTGAAATATATGTGCAGAGATAGTATTGCATTTGGAAATTTTGAGCATTTGTCACTGTGGATTCTCAAATGAAAACTAATTGAAATTATGGTAATAATGTTTGCCATTGCTGTAAATGATGTGGAATTGGAAATCTATTAAATGATTTGCTCTCACTACTGCCCGCCACCCTGCCTGCCTGCTTGTCTACTTTCTTAAAGTTTACACTACTTACTGGTTTCTTTCTTCGACGAATAGACAAAGTTCTGACGGTCTTTTTCGCATAAGTACAAAACGTAATCGCTACGATGGTATCCAAAATTTATATCATTGTATATCAGAAACTTATAACAATTTTTGTATCTCGTTATAAATAATTATTTGGCAATCTTCGGTATAGCATGGAATTGCTACGTGAGTATTACAATCTAAAATTAGTCGAATGAAAGGTAAAAAAAAATCGTAAGTAAAAGGGATAGTAGTGTATTTTCAGTACTGCATTGTAAAACATAATAATTGCAGTTCATTATAGTAATAAATGCATAAAATTAATTTTTTACAATAGAACGTAAATTACTTAATATTATTTTATAGAAGCTAACAAATTAGATCGGCGTTCAGTATTTTGGAATAACGCTCTAATTAATTGTTTCACTTGAAACGCTGTAAATTCCCGTGCTAGCGGTCCTTTACCGCCTCCCCATCTAATTTCAATTTCTTTCAATGAAGCACCAAGCACTTTGATTAGTTCTAGAAACTTTTCCCATTTCCTTACGTATTGATGAATTTTCTGAGGGTCCTGAAACACAGAATAACTTCTGTTAGAAATGTTATTAAAAAGGAATAATATTGTTCCAGTTTAATTTTACAGGATCAGCTGGTGGGATTTGTTTCGAGGCCAAAATATTAATAATTACATTCTCATTGTAATTTTTAATAAAAACTTTGAGTGGACTTGCTCATTTTTCTTATAATTCATAAACACACCGGAAATATTATTGGTGCACGTTTAACTATCATACTGAATAATGTTCCCAAATCGGTCGCAACATCTGCAGGAATGTCTTCAACGGATACAACTCTAATTGTAAGATCTTCAATCATAGAATTCGTGATGCATCCTGAAATGATAATTAATCAAAATAATCGAAAGAATGCATCGTAACATTTGTTCGAATTTCATTGAGGAACAAAGACTGACCTACAGCTCTACAATATATGTTTATAGGTAAAACGTCTAGCCAAACTGTTTTCAGTAACTCCAATTGTCGAATGCACTGTCTGAGTGCACGTTCGGTGTTCGGTTGCAGCTCCGCAGTTTGACCTAACGCTGACAAACCTAGTTAAAAACATTTTCATTAGACGTTATTGTAGCAATCGATAATTGCTATTTGATTTTCACTAACCCGATTCTTTGAGAATATCAAAGATAATATTTCGTTGATATTTCATATGTTCTAAGAAATACGCTGATCCAACGTCCCTTAGTATTAGTATTTGATCAGCGAAAGCTAGATTGTAATCTTTTAGAGACTCTGGTAGCTTGTCCCTGTATTCATGTCCCAGTGTGAGAAGATTATGAGCGAGATACATACAATTATTATGGAATACAGCTGATTAAAAGATATACAAGTGATTAATTGAAGTATTAAAAACTTATTAGTATGTACAAAATAATTAAATTCTCACCGACTTGTTGAGGTATCGTTTCCAAAAATTTTCTATGATGTTCCGGTACTAATCCTGAGTACATTTCGAAAACATTTCGGCACGTATAGAATAATCTAAGTGCACAGGTATCTGAACTGTTACATGCTTCGTCTAGGATACTTCTCGCAATATCTAGTGTCTCCTTTGCACTTTTACTGAGGCAAATATTACTTATTAATTTAAATATTAACGAGTACATTGACCACGGTTTACGTTAACTATTTTTATACCTTATCTGACATTTAGGAAGTTGAAACGTTTTATCATTTAATTTTAAATCTATTTTCATATCATTATAATCATACGCCTCTCCAGAAAACTCCAGCGGTTCCTGTAATATTGAATGTCTATTAATAATTTATATAATTCAAATAATTGATTTTCAATTTAAAAAAACTTGCCTGTGGTTCATACGTGATACAATCGTGCAAATCTTTCTTCATAATGTTCCGTGCCTTTGCTAATAAATCCTGGCAAATTCTTTCGATGAAAAGTTTATCGATATTCTTTGTATATTCCGATAGAAACAGTTCTTCCGGCGTCAGAAAGCCTGCAATAATATAAATAATTACGTATTCGGAAACGGTCTAGTACTGAACATTAGTGTCGCAATCGTACCGATGTCTACTAAAAAGTTTTGAAAATCGAATATTGTCTGGACAATAGGTGTAAAGTTCTTTAAATCAGCGCTGGACGTAGGAACAATTCGCGAGATGCAATTAGTCGTTAGAGACGCCGACAATCTGTCCAGCAGGTGTGGCTTTATCTCATTCAGGAACGTTTCCTTGTCGTGCGTGATTATATTGAAGTGTTGATAAAGAAATTTGAACAACAATTCTAGATTGTACAGCACGCTTTTGTAGCTAGGCGATTTTTTCTTGTCCAAGATCTTAATTGTGAATATTTTGGTGTTAGTCACGTAGACTGAACAATCGTCGTTGATAATAGGGTTGATTACATGGTCCATGAGGGTGGTCGCGAATTTATGTAGGTGGCTGGAGAGATTATCGATGCAATGCAGCCCTTGAATCAATTGCTGCATATCATTTAATTCATCTTTGACGCTTAACGTGATAATATTTGAGTCTTTGTCTTCGATGCCCGTCCAGCAGATCCGTTCGTGCAACAACGAGGATGTGTTAGGTAGAAAAGAAGTATACAGACTTAAATATTCTTCCTCGATTGCTGTAAATATGTCGAGATCACGGAGATCGCTTTGAGAATTGTACAATATTGTCTGCATTTCACATAGCTTCTTGGCCGCGTTGATATAAGATTTCTCCTCTTCATAATTCTTTATAGACTTTATGCATTTATGCAAAGTTAACAGCTGATTAGAAAGTTGTAGCATCATGTTCGACTCCTTCAATGCCTGCGAGAGAGTCTTCAGTTCTTTTGTAGATCCTGAGAGCTCTATTTTCACCTTAAGTAAAGAAATATTAATATTAATTTGTAATAATTCACCTTTAAGAATTTTGTGCGTACTATATTCTTGTACCTGATCATCTATTCTTTTCTGTAATTCGTTAAATTCTTCAAGAAGTGTCTCCCCTTTCAAAACTAAATGCTGATCCCTCGTAAGTTTCGATGTAAATTCAACGTAATTGTCGTTCATAAAATCCTGGACACTGTACTTCAATTTCGTTACTTCTTTTTGTATTTCGGTTATCTTTTCATTCAAATTCATTGTTTCTAATTTACCTGCTTGACAAAACGATACGTTAAAATTTGAACTACTTAAGTACGTAAATTACGTTATATTAAATATGGAAATTCGAAAAGTAGACTATCTTTAAATATTTCAGCGCGAAATTTTATACATCGTGCAAAGTTGTATGCGTTACGCTACTTTATAAACGCACCTGCTGTGATTAGCACGTCAGTTAAAAACGACGTCATGTTTACTCCTATTTCTAGTTTCGGACTTAATTATGGTATATTTTTCTGCTGATATTTAATAACAATATCTGCGATAAACAATTATAAATATCAAATAACCTCCAAGTTCTTTTTCATTCTGTTCTATCGCAGTGTTTACTGTTTACGTTCACTGACAGTCTTTAACAGCGTCGAATGCTCTGTTACTATAGATGGAATAACGTGTATTTTAAATACGTTTGAGTTTGATTTCTGTGCGTTTTCATGGAAGTTACATAGAAATAATTCAGGTTACATTTATTTATCTACATTACATGATAATCATTTAACTGAAATATTTACAGTTTTAAGAAATAAATCAAGAAACAATATTCGATTGACAAATGGGCAGAGAAAAATTGGTTATCGGAAAGTTGGCGAGTTTCACTTCTATGAGTATGCTCTTTGTCTATGGCCCAGTAGTGTCCATCTAGCGGCGTGCACGACAGGTTTTATAAGCTTGAGATTTAGTATCGTGGCATCTCGGTGGAGGGCGTTCGCGTTCCTTTTAACAAAACATTCTATCGAGTGGCCATACCCTGTCACAAAACGTGGTGGTAGCAGTGGTAAAAGATGGCAAGAAACGAACGAATCGCGTGCTAATGCGAACGAAGCTAATCGAGTATCATTCGCGACGGCCGTGCAGTTCTCGGTATTGTCGACGTCCTCGAGATCTCGGTGACGATATACTGTTTCGCATAGAGATGATGTGAGAAGCCGAGACGAACATCGAAGGGGGGTAAGAGTTCGGCGAACGGAACGGCCGAAAACTCTTGCAGCCGATGTCAAACATGCGGCGACCAATTTCGCGGAAAAGTCTACCGAATCGACGGCGTGTTTCGGTTGAGATTTATCAGTGAAACCAGTGCCAATGAGCGTGAATATATGGCGGCGCGAGTACTTTTACTGAGCATCTTGTTTACAGAAGTGCTAAAGCCCGCTTGTGTCGCAGGTGCGTCTCCCTCCTCTCCTCCTATCTAATCTGTTTATGTTCGCCAAACCAAACTGATACATGCTGGACCACGCGCTAACGTTTCTCTCGTGACTTTTTCCTATTACATACTTTCACCGATGATTCATTTGAAAATTCATCTCTTGCCGGATACGCAAACCGTTAAACGCGCACGATGTGTCTGTATTGAATGATTTTGAATGATTGTGAATGATTGTTCGCGCAACCATCGGTCGATGCGCTTTTACAGTTTTATGCGTATTTCAAGTAGAGGTCCCTAGTTCATACGTATGTAAGTACGTGTGTGGTAAACTAATCCGGATTTAAATTCTTGTAATTTTTTAATACACGATTACCCGTATATTTCTGTTTTACCGGTACCCGTACATTCCTATTACACGTGTATTTAAATTCACGTTTGTATTTGCGAAAGAAGAAAACGTCAGACATCAGCTTGGTAACTTCCTAATCTGTGTACAGGCGTATTAAGAACATGGATGTTTAATTGCTTAACGCATGTACAAAATCGTGATTTTTTGATTTCAGGTGTCAAAGAAATTGGAGCTGGTTTACACAACATAAACATTTCAAAACCAGAAAGCTTCAATACTAGTCCAACCAAAGGTTCTGGTGTAACGTTAGAAATTCAACCCAGTGGTCATGTGATATTAGGGAAAAAAGGGATTATACTTAGTTGTATAGCTGGTTCAAATCAGAATGTATCTTGGCTACACAATGGGGTATCAGCACCGCCGTGTGGTATTGCACGCTGTACTCTTCTACGAAATGGCTCTCTTCACTTACACAAGGTATGTTTCTCGGAGTAATAATTAATCAGTGTGTTTACCTAAGAGATTTAATTTTCATTATTATTATTGATATTATTCTTATTGTAGATGGTGCAGAAATTTAAAGAAAAAAACAATACCACAGTTAATTTTAGGGATTATATCAAAGACGAGTACCGTTGTGTAGCACATACTAATTTAGGACTTTTACGATCATCTCCTACATTTATACAAATAGCTGGTATATTCCTCGTTAACTGTTTTATTATTGGATCGTATAACAACACATTTCATAATTATAATTATATTTCTACTTTCCAGAACTTGCCCATATATTTAAAGAATCACCTGAAAATATAACTGTATACGAAGGTGAAGTAGCAAGACTGTCTTGCTTAATAGATAGTGTTCCTTTTCCTCCTAATATCACATGGCAGCATAATGGAGAAAAATTGTTGCCCAACCATAATAACTCAAAGTAAGAAAGACTTACGAATATCCAACGTTAAATTCTATAATTTTTGTTACATATTAATATACTTGTTTTTCAGTAGTAGGTATTTTATGGTACCACCAGGTGTTCTGTACATAAAAGCAACGAAGTTATCAGATGCTGGTTCATATAGGTATGTGCATATTTAGATGTATAAGTTATAGATTAAGTTGCAAATTACAATAGAGAATATAAAGAAAAACATGCACTTATATTTCTAGATGCATAGTAAATAATGAATTCCTAAAGAAAACCAAAAAAAGTAAAGAGGCAAAATTAACCGTTATCGCTCGGCTAGAGGGTAATGGATCGCATACGCTACCATTCTTGTTTCCGCAAGTTTCGTATAATCATTGGTTGCTAAATGGAACAAGTCTTAGTTTAGCATGTGCTGCATCTGGATATCCATCTCCACTTATGACGTGGACATTTATTCCTCGCTATACTGGTAATTTATTTACATTCACGTTACATTCAAATACTTTTACGAATTAAAGACTATTCCATAACAATTTTTCAGATACTCAAAATGTTGCACAACCTCGCATTTTGCTTAATTCTAGTATTGGAATTAGTATATTGTCATTGGTAAACGTGAGTGTGTCCGATGCAGGAATTTATCTATGTTCTACAAAAACCATTGTTACAAACAATTTGGAGATTCAGGTTCGTCGTGGAAGCTTATTGCAAAAGTCATCAATTTTTGTAACTATAATAACATCGTACGAAAACTTCTTTTAGAATATTACAGTGGACATTTTGGTACCACCAACGTTTTTGAAAACGCCTAAAAGCCAAGTATGTCCAAATGGAAGAACCGCACGATTTGAGTGTCAAGCACAGGGGTTGCCTATGCCTAAAATATATTGGTTAAAAGACTCACTAAATATTACAATGAACGGTAATTACTACGTCAACAAAACGGTACATAAGTATAGAATTTTTTAAGTCGGGCCTGTGATCTAATATATAAACTGTTTACAGGACGTAGGACTACATATATAAAAGAACATAATAAAACGGAGTTAGCAATATCAGCAACGGTTCCTTCAGATTCTGGTATTTATCAATGCGTTGCTGTGAACTCAGCTGGTGAAATTTGGGCCGCAGGTCGGCTTCAAGTGAACACGTCTCGTAATAGTCCTGCTGCACCTACCTCTCTGAAATGTAAAGCTGTATCACCAGTTAAAATTTTTATTTCCTGGGCTCCACCAAAGTCTCTACCATACACCAGTATTACAGCTTATACCGTCCATTACAGTCCCGTAGGTGAGTGAATTCACAAAGAATTAATCAAAGGAATAAGAATATTCATCGCAACCAGATATTGTATAATGAATTCCCATATATTGTATTTAATACAGAAGGAGGAAAGGAAGAAGTTTCACCGCCAGAACCCGGTAATTCTACGGAGGTGGAAGTGACGAAGCTTCTCGAACCGTTTACTAATTACTCTTTCTACATACGAGTGTGGAACAATAATGGTCCCAGTGACCAGTCAGCCACCATTTTGTGTTCTACAGCTCCAAGTGGTAAGTTAATTTTCTTTGTTCCACAATTTTCTCAGGTGAAAAGAATATTAAAAGTCTTGTCTCTTTACACAGTTCCTATAAGTGTACCAAAAGTAAAAGTGAATATAATTAGTAGTACAAAATTAAATGTATCATGGGAACCACTCACTAAAAAGGAGGCTCGTGGTATCATCGAACAATACAAATTACAGTGCAGAAGACACGAACATCCATCATCTCGTGTTCTTTCTTTACCTGCTAGCGTTGAATCTTATGTACTTTCTGGTATATATTTTACTTCTTTAATTGTTCAGAAATACAGATTGAATAATGCATGACGAACTGATTTCAATTATTCATATTGGGTAGATTTAATACCTGGTGCACAATATGATCTACGAGTACAAGCAAAAACAACTGTAGGCTGGCCTAATATGAGCGAGTCGCAGTTAGAATGGACGACTGTGACTATGCCATTTGCAGAATCAATTGTTATCAAAAACGTCGTGGATATGCAAGTATGGCTTATAAATTCTTCGATTGTGAAGGTTTGTACAGATTTTCCAAATTATTCGATATTCATTGTACCATTCGTTCTTACGTAAAATTCCGGTTTTTAGGTGGAATGGAAAATTAATATTAAAGAAAATAATAAAATTAAATCAGAATTTGATCGTTGGCAAATATATTGTGAAAATCAAAATGGACAGAAAATCACAAGTATTTTTTTACCACAAAATATTACTGAACATGTATTTACTAATCTTGGTAAGTACCAGTTACGGTACAATTTTATCTTGTACTTTGTTGAGAATTTAATTATTTATATTTCTGTTTAGATGTAAATGTTTCATATACAGTGGGTTTGTGTATGATAAGCTCTGACGAAGCGACCAGCTGCCTAACAAAGAAGATAGAAACTGTCCCACCAGATGCAAGTAAGTTGTACATATTATGGAGAACAGCAGAATTGTTATTGACACAATTAATCTATTAATCTTAAATTTAGATAATATTCCAATGGCCTTGGAAGCTATTCCTGTTTCACCTACTTCCATAAATGTAACATGGTCATTGAGTGACGCGCATAAAGTCGATTCTTTCGAACTATGCTACCAGGCGATTCATACTACAAATTTCGATGGTCCCAAATGTATCATATTGTACGTAGAATAATAAGAACTTCATACTGCTTCAGTCTACATTGATACTATTTAATCGTTAAATGACTATTATATTTCTAGAAACTTTACGAAAGCGAGCGTTGATAAACTTAAACCATTTACGCTATATCAATTTAAAGTAAGAGCCATTCGAAACAACCCTAGCCAAAGCAGTTTCTATAGTGAAGCTATTGAATGTTATACAAATGAAGACAGTAAGTAAGGATGTGTAGATTTAATTTTGAAAATCGGTAGAAGTTTGATAATTCAATGCTTTTAGTTCCTGGAAAAGTAGAGGAGGTACAATGGTTTTTGGTGAACAATACAAAAGTTCGAATCGCGTGGAAAGAAACAAGCAATATAAATGGCATAATACAAAATTATTTTGTTATGTACACCACGGATTTAATGGATTCGAAGACTACGTGGAAAAACATGACGGTACCTGGTAACAAAACATCGGCGATCTTACTAGAGTTGACACCGGGGAAACGATATTTCGTTATGGTCCGGGCATCCACAAAAGCCGGTTATGGTAAACCTTCCGTGCCTATCGATATCATCACCAGTGGCGGTCCATCGAAGGTACCTAATCCACCGGATGAACAAAAGCCGCCGCAAAACATAAAACCAGATCAAAGCCTTGGTAAGCGATAGATTCTATACAGCACTCTTATTTAATGTTACTCAACATTAACAATAATAATATGATACAAATTGTGTTTAGGAGTGATTCTTGGTGCAAGTATAAGCATCGGATTTATTACGATCTGCTTGTGTAGCATGTATTGTCGGAGGAAATGGGAAAATGCTCGTATTTTGAGAGACAATACGCAGGCAATGAAAGGACGTTCATTGGTACGTAATGGTAATAGATGTTGCGTGGACGAGTCCTCTACATCGGTGAGCCAACAAATGAATACTAGGGTAACACCCAATGAAATCGAACTTGCTGTTCTTTGCCCATCGTCTCCGGTTGCAACGAACCCACATTTGGATACAAAGGTACGTGGAAATCAATGACATTTCTCTGTCCAAGGATAAACAACTCATTCATTTGTTGCTACAGGGTGGGAAGTCTAATGGGATCCTGGAATCCTGCGCAAAGGAACCTTTGCTAACGTCATGGGATGTGAATGGCGATCCTAAGGATATCGAAGTAACTAAAAGTTCACAGGTGCGGATAGTAATGGCAAGAAAGTATCGGCAAGAGAACAGTTTTATTAAATGCAGTTGTATTCGTATGTTTGCAGTACAAAACAAAGGACAGCGCTGTCTTCGTGAAACAGACGTCAGAGCACGAACTGGAGCCAGATTTGGAGGGCACACAGCTCACGATGGTCAATTGTACTTTAGGCAGTAGCAGTAGCAGTTTAAACAACAACTCGGGATGCCCGGATGGAGATACATCCTTGTCGAAGTCTATGTGTATATCTGTTCCAGCGCTGGGACCAAACGGATGAAAGCTGTGGTCGATACGATTCAGTATTCACATTTTCTTCCTCTGTTACTGTGCAACAGGTAGGATACAAAAAATTTTTCCCGTGGTTTGAATCAACGTGTACACAAGGTGTATACGAACACACATGTGTACGCGTGGGTTAAAAAGTAACAAGAATGAAATTCTCGAAGTAGTAGGAAGCAATGCAAGTTACTACACTTTACGAATTGAGTATGGTACAGTTTGTAAATGAAAATACTGAAACATTCTGGTAAGTAATGTAAATAATAGTGTCGTACAAATAAGTGCGTCGAATCTGAACACACAGACTATTGTAAATAACATTTTCAAGCAAGTTACGTCTATTGAAAAACACTGAGAAGTATTCCTGTATTAATGATTTGGTAAGAAATCTAATAATGATTCTTAGATTTCGTGTTCTGTTGAAAAGTACTGTGCTACGGATAAATCATGCGAATGATACTTAATATTCATTAGCTAACTTGCTCATACACGCGAGTAGATAGATGCCCATGAAAGGGTTGACTATGAAATTAAGAATGAGATAGTGGGACGGGAAGAGGATTCTTGATGCTTCTGTAAATAGATTTAACTATTAATCTGTGAATATGTTTATAAGATAGGAGTATCATGTTTCTCAATGATAGCGAAAGATAGGTAAATAATGCATTCCTTTTATGCTAGGGAGGACAAAATTATTGATAATATTCAGGTACAGGTATGGCCTAAATTAATTCATGATATGTGTTGCTTCTGAAAAGAGCAATAGTATTGATCATTCCACACTCTTAAGTTTTCCATTAGCCACATGGAAATTGTCAAGAAAAAGTTTTTTAATTAAGCAATTAAAAAGAGAAAACTAATCAGATCTTAATCTATTCAAAATAGAGCTAGAACTTAGATTTGCTTTTTTATGTCAGTGCTATCAAGCCGAATGTATAGCATTTATTAAACTTTGGCGGATATTTATTCTATCAAAGAGTCGAATGTTATCAAACACTTTTTTAAAAAGGAGACACTCGAGACGTTGGTATTAATTTAACAAAGTCTTGTTTATATTATACGTCTAATCACTGTATTATAGACTACTGCAGCATATAGAAGGAGCAGGAAAAAATACGATTACAGTTTTTAAAAAAAGAAATTCTAAATTTTTTAGCACCATGTACAAAACTTCGTCGTAAATACCATGTAGTTTTAAAAGATATATTAAAACGCGTACATAGTAATTGGATAATATCAGCACAGTTATATTCTAAATATTTTTTCCTGTTCACGTCGTCAGTTTACGTATGACAAAGACAAATCTTACGTTGTACAAGACATTTAAAGTTAACTACATCATACAAAGGGAAGAACGAAACAAAACTACAAAACATATTCCAGACTGGTGCATGTTACCATGACAGAGATGAAACCCAACACAGTACCTGATAGAAATAAGCTATATCTTTTAGAGTGAGACGTAGATATGTCATGTTATTATTGTACCTCCATTAATTGTTATTTATTACATTTTACACGTTCAGTAGTACCCAAAATGATCACATTACACTGAATCATGCAATAACGTAGTCACTACAAGCACAGTATGAGAAATCATGTAAAGATAGTGTTCCGTTTCAAGATGGACCTTTTTATTAGATGTTTAGAAAGTGCTGAGCATAGCTGTTCCAAACATGTTCAACACTTTACAAGCAACTTTTGAAATGGTGTATCCTGAAATAGAACATATAGAATTAAATCAATCTGCACATGCTAGAGATTTTTACCATATTATATTTATTGTACAGATTTCTACATCTTTATACGAAATAATTTGTTAAATATTATAATTTGATATCAGTTCTACAAAAGAAAAAGAATAATTCTGCCTTACGTTAAAGACATGTTACTATTAATACAGATTTTTTATATAGAACACACTCTGCAGCTATACATTTCTAGGTGTAAAATATGATTTACTTATTTATTATTCAAACTCAATATTAATAGACTATAACAAGACTTCGAGAGTGAAATAGTTACAAGATCTGATTGATTTAGAAAAGAGAGAGAAAGAAAAAGAAAAGAAAAAATAGAAGATAATTTTACTTGCACATTGTGTAATAACATTTGTTAGATATTATACGATCACATTTTTTATCAGAATCTCATTTCATACAACGCAGTAGCTATTTATTCTTTACATTAAAACACAACAAATCTGATTTGTTGCAAGCATACATTTCACAGACAGAATTTGCTTGTTCTGTGATTTTTTTATTTAAACAATTTGTTTTCCATTTGTTATCGTATTTAACATGAACCTGTTACATTTTACGTTACTGACATATAGTGGTATACTTTTATATTTGTTGAAAGTATTTGTTACTCTTCTTAGAGTTGAATGGAGGACACGAGAATTGATAATATAATCGGTAGGCAATTAATTAACTTCGATCGCTTATAAATTTGTTTTCCTTTTGCATTGAACTCTCTTCAAATATTTCGATATATCTTTCGCACTGTATGTATATGTTAATTATTAAGCTTGTACAATTTTATAATATTGACGGAATTTTAATAATTCTAAGGAGAAAGGTATTATTGTTTTTATGGATAAAAGAAAAGAAAAGAAAATGATAGTTCAAAAGCGTTGATAGATGATGGAGAAAAAGATAATTAATATAGCGACGAATGCTTGCGGCGAATATTATGCTCTATCTCATTAAAGAAAAAAAAAATGACGTGGTTTTTTTACTGTATACGAATTTTAACGATTGATTTTATAGATTTTGTAAGGGAAGTGAATGAATATAGGTTTATAAACACTTTTGATCATTTTATTCTTAGTAACATAATGATGTACTAGGTATATTTAAGTGCAGCAACATTTCAACTGCCATTAATACTTTTTTACCGGAAATTTTTTCATTCTTTTGTACTTTGCATAAAAATCTTCCATTTTGATAAACCGTTTATCGAATTTATAAGAAACCAATAATTATGTATATCAATGAAACAGTTCGTGGTACTGTAAACGTTTTTCAACTAACTGTGTGGATGTGATAAGTTGTAGACTTCGTAGAAAACGACGAAAAAAGGAAAAGCAGAAAATAGAGTCGCCGTGCTAAGTGTTCAATTAACTTCTAAATGAACGAATTAATAATTGCAGTATTGAAGTACAAAGCAATAAACATCTTATCTGTAAACTGCAGATAGCAGGAACAAGTATTGTAAATGTCATGTTTAGAGTAGAACGATTTGTATAAAAGAGAAATACATACATACTTGGAATTGAGGCTATTTCAACAATAGATTTTTTTCTTCTTTTTTATAGAAAATATTCATTTGTTATGTGTGAGGTCTTTATAGAAAAGAAATAAAGTATTTTATTAGTAGGTTCTCATGATGCATATCTACTTCTACATTCTATCACACTAAGCAATATTTCAATTAAGCGCGTTAGAGGTACCGTCTAGCATTTCTCATTTGTGCATACAAATTTTTTAATATTTGCATACAAAATCTCTTCACAGCTTTACCAGAGATAGCAAAGGGAGAGCGTAGTCATTATTTCATTTCATTTGCAATAGCGTTTCAAGATGAAACGACCCAATAGTACATGGACATAAAGTATTAATTATAGATCGTACGGCGACTCTAGTCAAGTAAATATACCTCCATAATTGCCACCACGCTTGTACGGGGTGGGAACATTATATTACTTAATTTTAACTTAACCTCAGTACCTATTACACAACACTATAATTTAGATTTACACGATTTACCTCAGAAAATATATTTGTCGCGTGACAGTGGATAGATATAGCCAAGACATTAATATTTTATTTTATACGACGAGATATATATGAAAAAGAAAAGAAAACGAAGAAACACGGTAAAATTGATGTTTGTATTACTACCGTTAATTGTAGTAGTAATTAATATGTATTAAGGAAACTTTATTAATTTATTTTTCGCGAATCCTTACCATTTTTTTTCTCTATCTGTTTTTTTTTTTTACTGACACCTACGTAATTAGCGTACTGCGACAATTATACTGTTTTTTAGGGTGCAGCTAC